GAGCACTCCAAAGCAAAATGTGGAGGGGACCCGGCTCCTCGGCCCTAAGCAAAGCTGCCGAGCTCAGGGGCCGCTCCCCATCCACGGATTTGGGTGCCCTCAGCTTTCCTCACACCCTTCTCTGGGCTCCAGCGCCTCATTTCTCACGGCTGTTGCGCCGCCTCCTGCCAGCGCTCCCCACCGTGAGCAGAGCGGGCAGCCGAGGCTCCGCTCCCCCTTGCCCCCGGACCCCCACGACACTTCGGGAGGTTGCGGGCTCACCCCGGTGGCAGGAACAAAAGGAGGGAAGGACAGGCTTACAGCTGAGACTGGGCGTCGGGGAAGGCAGCTGCTCTGCCGCTAACCTCCCTGAAGAAGTTTGACCTTGACCAGATTCCGACGTACCCTTGAGACAGGGAAGCTTTGCTTAAAGCAAATAACTCAAGGAGCTGCTGACCAGAGCAGGATGAAGCAAGCGGGGAGGAAACTGGTAAAGGTTATCCAATGAGAATGGTAAAAACTTTTTGACCAATTATATTGTAGCACTCTGGCACCTGAAATATATAAAAATACATGCTTTTAGTAATAAAAACCCTAGCTGCTCGTTCACCCCTGTGAGTGTGTGTGTGTGTGTCGCTTCGTCCGTCTCTACAGCGACAACTGGGGATCTTGCTCCCTGGGTCAGCAGAAACTCTACAAAAGCAATACAGTGTGCAAAGCAAAATAAGTTGCTTTTCTGATCATGGTAGCGGTGGTGTTGGATCTGCAGGACCAAGCAGCTGCTCCTAGTTCACAGGCCATGGATTTCTCCAAGTTGTGGACAGCGTATGGTTTTGGTTTTCTGTCTGTGATGCAGCCAAAGGCTTATGAAAGCACTGCCCAAGACGCCAAAGCCAGTGAGGGATCCCAGCAGAACGGGTACCAGCATGGCACTATCAGGACCTGGAAATAAAGAAAAGTGATCAAGCAGTGAACAGCGTTAAGAAAGGGAGGGAGAAGAATAAGGTGGTTAAACTCCCATTCATCCTTATAACGTGCTAAGTTTCTTTCCACAGAGTAGTCTGACTGGGCGGTGCATTTTCAAACACACGACCTTCTTTGCCATGAGATCCCAGCAGTCAATATTCTTGGCATAAACAAGGAAAGACACAAGAAGTTAGGTGACTCTCAGGGACGGTGCCAGGCTCAGCATCACTCCTTTCTAATCGCCGGACAACATCTAATTAACATTAACCAGCTGGTGTATTTCACCTGTGAACAGAAAGAAAAAAGAAAACGCTCCTGACTCATGACCAACCTCATTCTGCACCTACGGTTCCTAAGTGAGATTGTTGTCCAGTTACCCATGGATGGCGTTTCCTTGCTGTACCAGATAACTACCTCTAAATATGCCAGCTCTTCCCTAAACTCAGTACAGAAAATGGCTTTATTGCTACTTTATTCTAAAAGCTGCAAAGCTAACAGAAAAAAAATATTTAAAAGGAGAACCCTATACCTTGACTCCTCCCATCTCATCTCACCTATAACCCAGCCACTTGAAGGAAAGAGTTAGCGAATATCTCAATTATTTTAATTACATTCTCCATCTTCAGCCAACACATTTCACCAAAATACTACAACACGCAGGAAAATTCTTTCCAGCTAGAGGACATTCTGCCTTATTTTTCTCCCCTGTCCTCCTCCTAAAGCATCAGTTCCTGCATTTGGCTGTGTCTCCTGTCTGAAAGTCTATTGGATCTGATACTGATTATCCATCATCACGTTTGGGATTTAGGAAGGCCAAGCCAAAGGTGAGTAGTTGCTGGGATATAACCTAGTCATATCAGACGGCTGTCAAGAAAGCTGCTCAAAGTGTGCTGCTTTTCTTACAGCAGGAAAAGTCGAACAGAAACTTCTGCAAGGGAGACAGAGAAGAAAAACAGGACACCCACCTTCCACAGGTTTGTATAGAATCCTGTTCTTCCTTCTTAAAACCGGACCAAATGAGATCAGGTTGTGCAGGTTTCCATAGCTGTTCCTGTCACTTGACTGGAGAAATGGCTCCACACTTTCAAAGCAGTCCTGGGAAAGACACACGACAAACACTTGCAGTCCTACTGAACAGAATCTCCTGCACGAGCCACTGTGCACAGCCCACAGCAACCGCAGTGCTGATGGGAGTGGGCCGCCTCAGGTTGAGCCTTGGTCCAGCTCTCCTGTCCAACAAGTGAGCGGCCTAATGCTTGGGGCAGCCCATACCTAAATCTCTATTCCTTTTCCCTAGGGATCTGCAACTATTGCTACCATTTCCTATCATTAATCATCTTCCAGACTTGTAACAAAGGGATTGACCAGATCCTTCCCATGCCCGGGTAACCGATTGCCTAATTCCTGCCAAAGTTTCTTAAAAGCAGGCTCAGCCTGACTGGCTGAATCTTCAGAGCTTTTCTAGCTCTCCTGTCCAGCTCAACCAAACTTTCGTGAAACTCTCTGCTACATCCCTCTCAAAATGCTTCTTTGCACTACTTCTGTAGTCCTGAGCCTCTAAACGCACAGCATGCTCTATGGCTAGGTGT